AAAGAAGTAAAACTTACTATTTGCAGATGATATGATACTTTACATAGAAAATCCTAAGTCTCCACCAAAAAAAAAAAAAGAATAAATGAATTCAGTAAAGCTGCAAGATACAAGATTAATATACACAAATCTGTTGCTTTTCCATACACTATAATGAACTATCGGAAAGAGAAAGCAAGAAATCAATTCCATTTAAAATTGCACCAAAAAGAATAAAATACCTAGGCATGAACTTATCCAAGGGGGTGAAAGACCTATACTCTGAAAACTATAAAACATGATGAAGAAAAGTGAAGATGATACAAAGAAATGGAAAGATATCCCATGCTCATGGACTGGAAGAATTAATACTGTTAAATGTCCATGCTACCAAAACAAGTTACAGATTTAATGCAATGACATTTTTCACAGAACTAGAATAATCATAAAATGTATATGGAACCACAAAAGACACTAAACAGCCAACAGAAATTGTTGTCTTTCAGAGAAAAACACACAAAGCTGGAGGTATCATGCTCCCTGATTCCAGAGCATACTACAAAGCTACAGTAATCCAAACAGTATGATACTGGCATAAAAAGAAACACATAGATCAATGGAACAGAATAGAGAGTTCACAAATAAACCCATGCATATATGGTCAATTATTTTACAACAAAGGAACAAGAATATACAATGGGAAAAAGACTTTCTCTTCAATAAACGGTGTTGGGGAAACTTGACAGCCACTTGCAAAAGAAAGAAGCTAGACCATTATCTTAGAGCATTTACAAACATTAACTCAAAATGGGTTACAGACTTGAATGTTAAAACCTGAAACCATAAAATTCCTAGAAGAAAACATAGACAAAACCCTCTTTGACATATACTGTAGCAATATTTCTTTGGATCTGTCTCCTAAGGCAAAGGAAACAAAATAAAAAATAAACAAATGGAATCTAAGCTTTTGCACAGGAAAGCAAACTACTGACAAAAGGAAAAGACTGAATGGGAGAAAATGTTTGCAAATGATAAAACTGATAAGGGGTTAATACCCAAACTATAAACAGTTAACACAACTCAGTATCAAAAAAACCCCAATTAAAACATGGGGAAGAAAACATACAGAAGGCCAAAAAGCACACGAAAAGATGTTCAACATTGCTTATAATCAGGGAAATGCAAGTCAAAACCACAATGAAATATGATCTCACAGCTGTCAAAATGGCTATTATAAAAAAGAGCACAAATAGCAAGTATTAGCAAGAATGGAGAGAAAAGGGAGCTCTAGTGCACTGGTGGTGCGAATGTAAATTAGTGCAGCCACTATGGAAAACAGTATGGAGGTTCCTCAAAAAACTAAAAACAGAACTACTATATGATCCAGCAATTTCACCCCCAAGTATATATCTGAAGAAAATGAAAATAGTAATTCAAAAAGATACAAGCACCCCAAAGTTCACAGCAGCATTATTTACAATAGCCAAGATACAGAAGCAACCTTAGTGTCCTAAGTGTCATCAATAGATGAATGGATAAAGATGTAGTATATGCATATACATCCATCCATACACACACACACACACACTCAAATATTACTTAACCATAAAATGAAATTTAGCAACAACATGGATGAACCTGGAGGGAATTATGCTCAGTGAAATAAGTCAGACAAAGACAAATACTGTATGTTATCACTTATGTGGAATCTGAAGAGTATAACAAAGGAATGAAAATAACAAACAGACAGACCCACAGATACAGAGAACAAACTAGTGGTTATCAGTAGGGGAAAGGGAGGGGCAAGATAGGAGCAGGGGATTAAGAGATATAAACCACTATGTATAAAATAAATAAGCTACATGGATCTATTGTTCAGCACAGAGAACATAGCCAATGTTTTACAATAATTTTAAATGGAGTATAATCTATAAAAATATTGAATTACTCTGTTGTACACCTGAAACAAATATAGTATTGTAAATCAACTATACTTCAATAAAAAGAGACAGAACATGGGCTCTCTACATTGGCAGCAAATCACCATGCATAAAATAATTTTAATAAAGCTTGATTGTGTCACAGAATGAGTCTGACTTCACAATTCTAGGTTTCAGCATCATGTTACAGGCGTGCAAGCAGAAGTCACCTGGATTTGAATGAGGGAACAAACCTAGGGAGGTCGAAAGACCTGTCCAAAGTTACAGAATTAGTAAATGACAGAGCTAGGTCCTCTCAAAATCCAGTGATATTTAGCTTGACAACTGACATTAAGAATTAGACAACAAAAATCAGAAAATGAAATCTCATACCTGGAGTTTTCCTTTTTCATAGGCCAGTTTATTTTTACTCTCAGTAATTTTTCCCAAGACATTTTCCACCTGCTGTTGGGCAAGCTGATAAAGCAAACACAGGTATCATATCTTTAGGCAGAGAATGAATAATCATTTTCCTCTTTAAACAAGTACTTATACTCTTAGTATTTCTACAGTAATGAATCTAGGATTCATATTTATTTGCTACTTCTACCTCTTAGCCTTTCTTTAGGTAGCTGGTCATACTGCTAATACACAACATGCTAAGGGGAGTCTGAGTGCCTCAAGAGTCCCAGAGCTGGTTGTTCTTTATTAATCCTATTTTTGTTACATCAATTATTTCTTTGTAGGTGCAATCTAACCCAGGCGTGGGGTGGTTTCATCAGCGGTTGCAAACATAGTGTTTGAAGATTGTATAGAGTCGGCCCTCTATATCCACGGCTTCTGCATCCATGGGTTCAACCAACCATGGAATGAAAATATTCAGGAGAAAAATAATTTCCCATAAGTTTCAAAAGGCAAAACTTGAATTTTCCACTGGCAATTGGCAACTATTTACATAGAATTTACATTGTGTTAGGTATTATAAGTAATCTAAAAATGATTTAAAGTATATGGGAGGATGTGCAAAGGTTATGTGCGAATACTACACTATTTTATTTAAGGAACTTGAGTATTCACGTATTTTGATGTCTATGGGGTCCTGAACAAATCCCCCATGGATACTGAGGGATGATTGTAGTTCTTTTAGAAAATAGGAGCTGCAAATGATCACTCTACTTTGACAATAGGAGACACTTCAGTTACCATAGTAAAAGGCAGTTTAAAAAAAAAACAACAACCAAGAAACTTTTGTTGGAAACACCAACACTGTTTGATCAAGTACTCAAAACAGTGTTATCTGGGATAAACATTACTGAGGTCTCTGTATGTCATGAAATTACATACCAAATCACTCAAACAGCCGTTAATAATGACAGTTATTTTTTTCCGTATGTCTTTTTCCTCAGACTTTGTCAGAAGAAATAAGTATAAAATAGTTCTCTCTTGATTAAATTCTGGGCCTTACTGGTACTTTAGGAACACTACTAGTGATTGAAAATGGAAATTTTCACCTTCCATAATCAATTTCAGTGTTATATCTTAACAGGAAATACTGATATTTGCCATATGTCAAAATCATCATAAATCCACTGTTGGGGTAATACAGAAGCAAATGTGACTGAGAATACAAATTCTTAATCACACAGGCCTACTAGCTGCACAATGGATCATTTGCAGTAAATCCTGAGTTCAAAGTCTTATTAATGTTGGCAAATGTTCTACATCGACATAATCACTATTCCTGGTTTACATTTGCTTAATCTGTGAATAATAGAACAAGGGCCCTTTTCAACATTTAAAGCTAAAGAATTTAGACTTTTGTTTTATGTTCAACTTTAGCCAAGTTTGTAAAGATGAAACCATACATGTAGGGATATTAATTTACACAAGAGACGTTCTTCACTATCTCTGACATAGTTAGAGCTACTCTTCAGTCGTCACTTTGTAGTGCACTTTATTTCATTTAAAATATTGTGAATATTTTCCAGATAAAAGCAAAAACACATTCCAAACTAGATTTCTATATAATATGTAACTCATTTTTCCTTCTGTTCAAAATGTTTTCCTGATACCATATGTTCTGTGAGAGACCACACTAGTCTGGAGCCTTGCTTTCTCCTTCATAGGTGCCTTGGCTATTAAGCCACTTTGGACCTTCTAGACTTGATCAAAATCTAGGGAAAAACTGTAAATAGTGATTAGTTCTCCCTGAAGTTACACACATTCAATAGAGAATTTATACTCAGTATTAGGCATCAGTGGGTTATTAACTACTATGGCGATCTAGGTATTTGTCCTATTAGACCAATATTTATCTCATACTTATTAATACATATTCGTACATTCAGTTTTTTAAAGTTTCACTTTCAATCACTGTGTGTTGCTCTCACTAAGGCAAAGAAAGGATGATTATATATATATATGTATAAATATATATATATATATTTAAAGCATTCAGAACAATAAAATATTGGTTTCAAAATAACCTAAGGGAAATGTAGACTATCAATAAATAGGAGGCTAGTAAAATATTATCATAATATGAGTCGTCAGTTAGTTTTCTGTCTGTGGAAGATATACAGTCCCCCTTTGCCAAAGTATATTCCATTTTGGGAACTATGATGTAAAATCATCCCATGAATGCAACATTTGGGATTATGTTTTGATTAAGCCTTCAGCAGAAAATATATTACAAAGATGGCCAATAATGCTGCAAAAACAAAGCTACACAATATCTATAAAAGCTTAATTATTTAAAATTTAAAATTCAGTTCCAAGTCCTATAAACTGAGATGCCCAATGTGTTGCAAAGTATAGATATAGCTTATAAAAAATCAAGAGCTAGACTTAACCTAAAATATGCTAGCTATTACAAATAAAAATAATCAAAAATAACTTTGCTTGCCTTCTTGGAATGTGGAAAGGCTTTTTTTTGTTTGTTTTGGAGTCACTTAGATGGTCTGAATCTCTTACAAAAGGTGTCAAGGAATTTTTAAAATAATGGCACTTTTTGTCTCAATAAAATTCCCTCTTTTAGGCAAAGGTATAAAGAATTCTACTAATCTTTCAAGTACACTTTTAAAATAAATTCCCCTTTTTTTGCCACTAAAGGGAACACTAATGCACTGATAAGTGAAAACTCTCTAAGCAAAATCAAAACGTGCTAATATTTGACACAGGATAACTTATTTAAATTTATGACAAACAAAAAGAAATTGTTCCAGTTGCTAAAGGAAAGTAGATATTAAGGCAGTAACTTAAATGACTGTTTTCAGATTATTTAAATAGGACTTGTATTTAAGAAAATCAATGGAACACTAGAAATTAGAGAGAGACCACTTAATGAGTGAGTATCTCAGGTTCTGAGTTGTGGAATGCAGAACTCAGATTAACCTTTGTTTAAATAATCTTGACAATATACTACAAAGATTATTAATATGCAGAGCATAACAAACTGGAGAATCACCTGAGAAACAGCATACAAAGAAATGCTAATGGTTAGAATATACAATTTAACTCAAACACAAAAATATCAGTCTTTGGAAAAGCAGGAAGCTAACACAGAATTACCTTAAGATACAAAAGGCAGACTGACAAGGATCAATAGTAAGCCACAAAATGACTTCTAAAATCATTAAAAAAATCTGGCTAAGCTGTAAAAATTAGCAGAAGCTGTTAGAAGAATATATAAAACTAAAAGAGAATGGCATCTTGGTAAAGATATTTCATAATTTAAGCAGATTGTTAAGTAAGAATTTTATTCAAAATATTTAACAATCAGTATTACCTGCGCCCCGGCAAATGGAATCAACTGACACCCCTACAAAGTGTACACTGACTGGATGTCATCCTAGTTTTAAGAAATATTGCACTTAATTTATTGTTTAATTTCAAGTCATTAAAGCCCTAGTTGTGCATGGAACTAATTCTATTTCTGTCTGGTGCTACCATTTGAAAATGTATGTTTAAAATACAAAAGAAAAGTGGGAAGATAGATAGTTATTTAACTTGAATCAAGAAACAGTTATCTTTTCACATTAGGATTATTTCTCAGTGTGGTTCCCCAAATGACTGCCTGTGGTAATGGACTTAAATTACACCATCATTAAAGCCTGAAATGGCAAAAATAAACCTAAAATTAGAAACTGTGAGAAAAAAAGAGAATGATATTTATACATGGATACAGTATGCTGGCCGTATGATGGACACTTTACACACAATATGCCATTTAATTCTCACTGCCTGGCAGTAAACAGGACCTTACCTTTGTGTTCTACCCAATCAGTGTTTCTTAAACAGATATTACGTATTTGGCATAATACATGCCAGGCAAGGGAGTATAAAGATGAGTAACTACTCTTCTAGCATTAGAAGAGAGTGAAGGTAGATGCAGAAACAGGTCAATTTCTAATTTATGTAGTAATTATTTTGATATAGGTATGAACAGTATGCTGTGGGAACCCCACAGTTAGGGGAGAGTCCCTTGGCACTGAAGGCCAGAGAGGTTAAGAATCTGACCAGGTCACACACAGTAAATGAAGCCAAGGACTAAAACCAGGTCTGAGTTTAAATCTGTGGTGTGGTATACACAATACACACTCATATGTATATCTCTAAAATTCATTAAGAAGTTTTATGAGAGGGTAGTTTTTATTGAGAATTCCAAGTGTTAATTCTCAAAGAACAAAAATACACTGCCAGCACTGAATAGCAATAGGTTAATGATATTGCTCAGATTAAAAAAAAAGTCCTGAAATCTCAACCTCTTTGCTCAAGACTCTCACAACCAAATGAAGCACTTCCAGGCAGGCTTGGTCAGAGAAGATACTACGCAGAGACACAGAACTGCAAACTGGAAGTGAGGTGTGGGTAATCACTGGAGACCTTAGTCAAGAGGTGTGGTGAGCAGACAAGAATCAACACTGACCAAATCACTTGCAAGATCTGTCAAAGTCACTAATAAAGTAGGGCCACAGGCCTGCTCACTGGCAGTGGGGGCATGAAAGAATCACACAGACTGACACGAGGTCTTCCAGATAAGCCCAGTTGAGGCCTGGACAACAACAAAGGACACGGATGAATCTTTAATCTTGGGGGAGGGAGGGCTAGTTTGAGAGTACCAGAAATTGGAGCTAATGTACCTTGTTGCTCTGATACGAACTTATAGGTTCATCCTGGGACAGCTGGGATATAAAGAATTCAATAAATGTCAGCTATCTGCTACATGCTTTGCATGTAATAACTTAATCTTAACAACCTCCTAATCATAGCATTATTATCCCTATTTTGACAGATTAAGAAACTGAGGCTCAGAGAGGTTAAGGATAATACTCAAGGTCACAGTCAAAACTGAAACATAGGTAGTCTGGCTCTAAAGCCATGAAAATGTAAGAGGATTTAGATTTAGTGTCTGCAATTTTTCATAGCTGAAGTAACGAGCAGCTTAGGACAGAAATTGAAAGAATTTAGCTCAGATTAAGAAAGACTCACATCAGGGCCCTCTACGGAATTTTAAAAGATGATTTGCATGTGACAGAAACCATAACTAATTCTTTTTCAAATATTCAAAAGCATACAAAAAACTTATTAGCTGGTTAACAGATCAATCATGTCTTTAAATCCCCTTCACTTGGAGATGCTTTAAGAATTCTACCATTTGTTTGTAATGCCTTGACTTACCAAATAGCTTTTAGAAATCAGACTTACTACTGATTTCCTAATGGAGGGAACTGTCAGAAAGGGGAAAAAATACAAGTTTCTTCTTCACAATTTATGAAAGAGGAAATACTCTAAAACATTAGAAATATTTGTGCTTTTCAGCATTATAGATCATCTGTGTAGGCAGATATTTAATAGCTGCCTTAAATTCTTATTTTCTTAAATTCTCTACTGTTTGAATACTGTTTGAATATGTAGCTCTCTGACATATTTAGCCTGAGTTATTCAGGACTTGTGCTAATTATCAAAACATGAACAAATGAAGAAAACTTATCTCCTGACTTTTGATTTTTTAAAACTCACTAGTCATTAACTGACTCCTTCAGACTGACCTTTTTATACCCACCCAATGGTAATCAGAAGTTGCTTGCTGAAGTTCTATGGAAGCCATCTGATCTGCCAGTTGCTTATTCTTTTCCTCTGCAGTATGCAGGCTGTGAGTTAATGCATTTATGTCTACCTTTGAAAAACAAATGGAGAAAAGAAATCCAAGAACCAAAAATATTATTTTGTTTTTAAAACAGTATCTTTAACTGTAAAATAGATGGTATCTTATGAACATGTTCCCCTGCTTTTCTAGTTCTCTTCAGCAGGAGGGTTATTACAAATTACACAGTGAACATTTACTAGTAGCGGAAGTCCCTCTAGTACTTGGTATTTGTTTAAATATTAACTCAAGCTTATACATATAGACGAAAAATCCTCCACAAAATATTAGCAAAATGAATCCAGCAATATAGAAAAGGCTAACAAATCAGGACTAAGTGAAGTTTATCCCCTTAATACAAAGCTTGTTCAACACTTAAAATCAATTAGTATAACTGACCACATCGATAAACTCTAGAAGAAAAACCATATGACCCATCTCAATTGACGCAGAAAAAGAATGTTACAAAATTTAACATTAATTTGTGATAAAAATCCAGTAACTCAGATATGAAGGGGAACCATCTCTATGTGATAAGTTATATCTATAAAAAACCTACAACTAATATCAATATTAGTGAAATATGAATGTTTTCCCCTAAGACTGAGGAAAAGGCAAGGATATATGCCCTCACCATTCCTATTCAATATCATACAGGAGGCCTTAGCTGGTGCAGTAAGGTAAGAAAAAGTGAAAAAGGCATAGAGATTGGAAAGGGAGAAATAAAACTGCCTCTACTTACAACAGACATGATTGTCTACATAGGAAATCTCAAAAGAATCTACGGAAAAGATACTAGAATAATGAGTTTAGGAAGGTTGAAGGATGCAAGTTCAAATCAATTGCATTTTTATATATTAGCAACAAACAACTGGAAATCAGTATTTCTTAAAAGTAATATTTATAACAGTACAAAAACTCATGAAATTCTTAGATACAAATCTAAAACAACATGTCCAATATTTGACATGCTGAAAATTGCAAAATGCTAACAAGATAAATCAAAAACCTAAATAAAATGGAGAGACATAATGTGTTCCTGTATTAGAAGATTCAATATTGCTAAGATGTCAACTTTCTAATTCCAACTGTAAATGTGCAGAGTAATTTACCAGTGTACACCCTTTGGTGGAGTCTGGACTGTGAGTCTAGGAAAAATGGCCTTAAGAAACACTAAAGGGAGCTCTTCAGGCTGAAATAAAAGGGCATTAGATAATGACTGGAATCCATGTAAATAAATAAGGGATACAAGAAAATGTAGCAACACAGGTACATGGAAAAATATATATAACTATGTATTTTTGTTTGTAACTCTCTTTGTTACCAGTAAATCAAAAATATATAATAAAAGAAAGGTTAAGGGAATTAAAACAGTGCCCTAGAAATATCTACTTCACACAAAAGAAGGCAGTAATGGAGAAACAAAAAGCATATGATACATCAAAAAAAAAAAAAAAAGTAAAGTGGGCAGATGTAAATTCTACCTATGGGTAATTATGTGAAATATAAATGGATTAAACACTCCAATTAAAAAGCAGATAGGCAAAATGAATTTTTTAAAAGACCCAACTGAATGTTGTTTATAAGAGACACATATTAAATACAAAGACATAAATGGGTTGAAAATAAAAGGATAGAAAAAGATACATGATGTAAATGTAACCTGAAAAGAGTTGAAGCTGCTACATTAACATTAGACCAAGTAGACATTAAGACAAAAATCTTTGAAATAAAGAAGGTCATTATATATTGAAAAAAGTATCAACCCATTAAGAAGATAGTATTTATAAGGGTACATATAATTCTCAAGTGATCAGTCCAAAAAGATGTAATATGTATGCACCCAAAATAGAAGCACCTCAATAAATAAGACAACTGTTAGAAGACATAAAAGAAGAAATCAACAGTAACACAATAATAGTGGGGGGCCTTGACACCCCACTTACATTAATGGACAGATCATACAGAAAGAAAATTAATAAGGAAACATAGGCCTTAAATGACACGTTAGACTAGATAGGCTTAACTGATATTTATAGAGCATTCCATCCAAAAGCAGCAGAATACACATTCTTCTCAAGCGCACTTGGAACATTCTCCAGGAGAGATCACATGTTGGCCCACAAAGCAAGCCTTGGTAAATTTAAGAAAGTTGAAATCATATTGAGCATCTATTCTGACCACAATGCTATGAGATTAGAAATCAATGACAGAGAAAAAAACTGCAGAAACCACACACATGTGGAGGCTAAACAATACTCTACCAAACAACCAATGGATCACTGAAGAAATCAAAGAGGAAATCAAAAAATACTTAGAGACAAATGAAAATAAAAACATGATGATCCAAAACCTATGGGACACAGCAAAAGCAATTCTCAGAGGGAAGCTTATAGCATTACAAGCTAACCTCAGGAAACAAAATCTCAAACAACTTAACTTTACACCTAAAGCAACTAGAGAAAGAAGAACAAACAAAACCCAAGGAAAGAAATCATAAAGATTAGAGCAGAAATAAATGAAACAGAGACTTAAAAAACTAATAGAAAGAATCAATGAAACTAAAAGCTAGTTCTTTGAAAAGATAAGCAAAATTGATAAACCTTTAGTCAGACTCATCAAGAAAAAAAGAGAGCCCAAATTAAAATCAGAAATGAAAAAGAAGTTACAACCAACACCACAGAAACACAAAGGATCATGAGACTACTATGAGCAACTATACGCTAACAAAATGGACAACCTAGAAGAAATGGACAACTTCTTAGAAAGGTACAATCTCCCAAGACTGAATCAGGAAGAAATAGGAAATATAAACAGACCAATTACCAATGCTGAAATTGAGTCACTAATTTAAAAACTCAGCAAACAAAAGTTCAGGATCAAATGGCTTCACAGGCAAATTCTACCAAATATTTAGAGAAGAGTTAACACCTATCCTTCTGAAACTATTCCAAAAAATTATAGAGGAAGGAACACTTCCAAATTCATTCTATGAGGCCACTATCACCCTGATACCAGACAAAGATATGACAAAAAAAATTACAGGCCAATATCATTTATGAATACAGATGCAAAAATCCTCAATGATACTAGCAAATTGACTCCAACAATACATTAAAAAAGATTATACACCATGATCAAGTGGGATTTATCCCAGGGGTGCAAGGATTCTTCACTGTCTGCAGATCAATCAATGTGATACACCACAGTAACAAACTGAAGAATAAAACCCATATGGTCATCTCAATAGATGTAGAAAAAGCTTTTGATAAAGTTCAACATCCATTTATGATAAAAACTCTCCAGAAAGTGGGCAGAGGAAATATACCTCAACATAATAAAGGCCATATACAAGAAACCCACAGCTAACATTCTCAATGGTGAAAAGCTGAAAGAATTTTCTCTAAGATCAGGAACAAGACAAGGATGTACACTCTGGCCACTTCTATTCAATATAGTTTTGGAAGTCCTAGTCACAGCAATTGGAGAAGAAAAAGAAATAAAAGGAATCCAAATTGGAAAAGATGAAGTAAAATGGTCACTGTCTGCAGATGACATGCTACTATATATAGAAAATCCTAAAAAGGCTACCAGAAAATGACTACAGCTCATCAATAAATTCTGTAAAGTTGCAGGATACAAAATTAATATACAGAAATCAGTTGCATATCTATACACTAATAACAGAATAGCAGAAAAAGAAATTAAGG